AGTTTCTACCCTTCGACTTTTTCTCTACTGGCACGACTTGGCAGGAGCTGGTGGGGTTACTAACCGCCCACACCACACCTTTTCCAGCCCTCCCCTCTTGGCGCATGAAACACCTCCTTATAGAGTTGTACGTCGCCACGAAACAGGTCAGGGAATGCGCAGCGATCACTAAGTCACCTCATACACTGCGCAAAAGTGGCAAGGCTGTCCTTTGTTGGCCCCTGAATATACGCTCTATATTTGACCTTCAACGGTCGATTGGGGTCTGAGATACAAGTTTATCGCCGATTTGATTTTTGTGTCATATCTCTCTATCCGCGGAAACGACAGCAGTGACCAAGCTCTTCGCGCTGTGTGTATGGTGCATCTTGTGCGCTGGAAATACCGACCGAGAGGCGATAGGATATTCGCAAATTGAGTTGGTGAGGGTAGGCATGCTACGTTGCTGGGGACAGCTGCTGCTCGATAAGGCTGTCCAAAGCGTGATTCGCCTAACCTTGTGTTGGTCGAAAAATAGACTTGTCTAACAGATAAGGAAGCGTTCCTTTTTTTTCAACTAGGATAACCGCTAGGATGGCGTTAGAAGTGGCATCACGAACTCCCACTTTCTAAGTGCCTCACTTGAAAACAACCGAAGTAGCATTAACGTGACTTTGGGAGCAACTTGATTCTGATTGGGTGCGTGCAACTTGATTATGTTCGTGTCGAGAGTCACGCTGAAATGACACCAGTGCGGTGGCTATCCACGATTATTAAGCCGGTCTGAGCATCGCTTCAGTCATTTCTGACAGCTACCCCCCCTCGCAGGCAGTGCTCGGGAACATGCAGGAAGAGATCAAGAAGGCAACTCTGCCCATCATCCACTATTGGCTTGACCTGTGGACATGCAAGGTCTCTTGGCGGAAATACCTCAGTGTCCATGTCTCCTATGTGGACAGCAACTTCACCCTGCGACACGGTCTTCTTGCTGTAAGTACATTTCCCCGGTTCCCTCCTCGTTTGCCCACGTAGAGCGTGGGCACGCATTTCTTGTAATATTGCTGCTAGCTGTGTTCTTCGGCGAGCAATGTCTCCCAGTTTCTCATGCGGTACCGTCTCTATCTCCTTGTTCCCCTTTTCAGACAAAAAATATTCGAAAACGGTAGATCCTCTGCGGCAACAAAATGTTGAACATAGCTCTATACCTCCCTCTGTCGTTGTTTGCCGTAGTTGATATCGTGATCAACACTTTGGCGGGGCGGGAGATGTTGAAACGCACCACATCGAGAAAAGTGCGCACGTCTTTGCAGATTGCTTTCTGGGTGACTGCAGCATGCCAATGTGTAGGCCGTTGATATTGCAAGCCTGCTCCTGTTCCCCATCCCCCATTTATTTTTTTCCCTTGCCTGGTAAAGCACTACGCCCCTTCGGCGGCGATTCAGGGGACAGAGACGGCAACCGAAGCCCTTTTCACCATCTTCAGGGCGACGCTGGCGGAGAACGGCATCAAGCTCTCCGACCTCGCCGGTGGGACAACCGGCAGCGACCCCGACGTCAGGGTGATGTGTGTGGACGTCCTCATGGCGTCGCATAAGATCGGGTGGGACTGGTGCGGCTGCGACCTGGCGGGCAACGCCGCGGAGGACGCTTTCGGCATCTTTGCGGACCCCCAGAGTTCCAAGAATAGGGACGCGCGCGAGGTCATTAGGCTCGTGGTAAAGACAGCGGCGAAGTTGAACCAGTCCGCCGCCTTGAAGGAGATGTTCGAGGAGATCGAGGTCGAGGCGCTGAACGACATCTTGAAGGCCACGGGGCGCGGCGCGGGGTGGCCGAGCCTCGTGCGCGTGATGGAGCGCATATTCCGCCTGTGGCACGTCCTGAGGAAGGTCTACGCCGACGACGGCGAGGAGTTCCTCCTCGACGAGGACAACAACAGGAACGACGTCCTCCAGCTGTACTCGCTCCTTCAGCCTCTCTCCGCGATAACGCGCGACAGCCGGTGCAGCGACGTGCCGATGACCGCGGAGATGCACATGGCGTTCGCGCAGCTCAAGGCGGAAGTGCTCGACCCCGACCGGCCGCTTAAGGTGTTCGACATTCCCCCTGCGCCGGACTCCCCGGAAGCTGAACAGGACGGCGAGGCGCGAATGGGGCGGGAGGGGGGCAGGCCGATGTTGCCCTCGGCCATGGTGCCATCGGACGAGTTGCGTCCGATCACCGTCAAGACCCGGAAGGAACTAAGCAAAGTCCTCGTGGAGGGGCTCTTCGGGCGAGTGTGGGATGAGGAATCCGCCAACCCCTCCTCGTTCCGCGACGCCGCGGTGCTCCTCACCCCACCGTTCAACACCGGAAAGTACCTGGATGCCCTCAGGCTTAATGCGGCGGACGCGGAGCACCTTCCCACCGGCAAAAGGAGATTGGCGCCAACCCCGGACGCCGGCGTGACGGCGAAGCTTGACGCTTGCTGGGGCGACATTAAGGCCAGGGCGTGGGGAGCTGCGCGAGAGCGGCACCGCCGATCTGCGCCACCAGTCTTGGACGACGGGCAACCGTCTCGAAAGCGCCTCCGCGTCGAGGGCTCAACCTGTAGCCCCGCCAGAATGAGCAGGTTCGCTGCCTTCGGGCGGGGCGAAGCTAGCGGCGGCGGCGGCGCTAAAGACGACTGGGCGAATAGTGAGGACAGGAACCTGGGTGGGATCGTGGCGGGCGAGATCGAGCGCTACAAGTCGCTCTTCATGACGGCAGTCGAGGTATGTCGAACACACAACGTTTTCAAGCGTGCTTCTTGTCATTGAAATATGTCATGGGCATTTTCATAGTTCGGTAGTCTGCCACGCATGGCCGAGAGGGCCTTTTCTCGAAGCCTTGTTTGTTACGTGGATGTGTAGCGTAGTCAAAGCATCTCGTGGTATCGTGTCCGTTGGGTTTTGCCATGGATGTAATGATGTTGAATGACTGACGGGCACACTTGTCCGTCAAAAGGAATGTGTGGGCCCATGTTTGTCAGTAGTCACAGATTCCTTGTGTTGTTCCATGTGCAATCGGATGTGAAATGTGATCGCAACCTTGGACAAACAATTATGATGTGCACTGTGCGTGCTCTTGGCGCTTGTTCTGCACCTCGCTGTTCTATACTGCACGGGGGAAATGCTCCTCGTTCGACGGGAAAACAAAGCCACCTCGCCTGCTTCGTTCGTTGAATTGCGCAGTCGGACTGCCGCGAGGTACTGTCCTGGTGGGGGCGCACGGGCAAGAACGTCTTCCCTTGCCTCGCCCCGGTTGCGCAGCAGGTGTTCGGAAGCCAGGTGGCAGCCTCGCAGGTAGAGGATCGCGACTTCGACGGCGGCGTTAACTTTTTCATGCCCAACAGGAGCCGCATGGATGCCTACTGGGCGGAGATGGTGATGTTCCTCAAGGCCAACTTTGAGCACATCCCCGCGACGAAGCAGATCCCCGTGGTCGCCACCAAGAACATCCGGTCGTGTCTGCCGGCGCGGTTCTACGGGCGGGACCCGGACTTGTTGGCCGCTGAAGCCGCCCTCGACATACTGCAAAACGCCACGATCCCTTCCGCGGATCATTTGGGTGGAGGACTGAAGATAGCTAGCGTGGGTTTGGGCTTCACGTCTATAACAAGTGTTTCGAATCTTGTGTGGCCAATCAAACCTCTGCGGCAAAGGTGTTCATCAACAGAGAAATTGGTCGATACCTGTCCGTTTCGAACCTCTACCGAAAGTGTAGTATCGATTGCTGTTGCAGCTTGGTCGGGTGGAGAGGTTCTTGCTCCTCGTTTGTGGTATTTTGTCGTATGAGCTGATGTACATTACATTGGTATGTATACCTACGTGCACGATGTGTGCAACGAGAGACGCATTGTCTTGTGTATTCGTATTCTCGCAGGACGACATGCATATTCTGGTAGTTGTTGTGACACCACTACCCGATACTTTGGTGACGTCCGCGACACGTCCGTCCGGAACCCCGCCCGAATCTCCCTCGAACTTGGGTACACACGGCGGAACAATGCCCGAGGCACGGGTAACACGCGCTTACATGTCCTACAATATTTGTGAGTTAATTCTACGACATGGTTACTAGCCGAGTTGTCGCTGTTGACTCTGTCTTTTACTTTCACATATGTGTAGTTCCATTCCATTCCTCTGTACGAAATAAATACTTCAAGATGGAAAAATGGCCCGTCGCGAAATGAAGCTGTGATCCGGTTGTGGTCTGCCATATCGTAAAGCAACTATCCTCTGATCACTGTCCAGTATCTCCTCCCCTGGGGTGTCCAAGATGAACAAGCGAAAGCCCTGTGACTGTCACTGACGAACCCAGAAATGACGCGATTTACTTCTTTCGGAGCTAAAAAAAGAAACACAACGAAAACCCACTCCGCTCGCGAAAGCACACGAGAGATGACCGCCTCGGGTCCACCGAAATATGATAGCGACAACGCTGCTACCGCCGAAATGGCTAACCACGGGAAACAGCAACACTATCCGGATGAAAGGCGAGGGGAACCGGCACAGCAATGCGTAACCCCCCGATATCCTAGTCGAGACGCAACGAACGGTCCGCAGCCAATTCGACCCACGGTGGTGTGTGCATATCACTACCATAACTGTGCCGTTGAGAGCGACAGCACGATGCGTCTTGCGCCGGCTTATTCTGAAAGCGACAGCGCAGGCAGAACCTTCGCGGAAGGACCAAACGTAAATATCCATGATGTCTACCAGTGCGGTGTGCCACAACAGACCCACGCCCCGTGAAAACACTGAGAGACGAACAACATTCATCACCGGGCGGCGTCGCGCGGTATGCGGACTCCGGTGTCAGGAAACCGGACCTGCGGCGAGAAGGCGAGGGACAGGTCTACGACCCTTCCCCTCGGAGGTAGACACCGAGACCTCCTCTTGCACTTTACATGCTACATGCCAACCCTGTCAGCTGTTGTAAAATCATGCAACTAATGCGTGCATGTGCATACAAGCACTATTGTGTATGGTAATGAAACTAACCTGTGGAGAGCAGGAGAGGAAGCAGCACAACGCGTCCTCCGTCCGCCGTCCATTCAGTAACCGTTGCACGTACTCGAGATCGAAGCGGTCCCCCTGGTGTGTTGAGGTTTCCGCAGCGAGCATGTCCGAAAACACGGAGCGGAGGGGTACATGACGAAGCCCTAATCACGTGAAATTTGCAAAGAACATGTATGGCACCGGTTACGTTCACTCCGCAGTTGACGTGTAGCAACAACGCCCTGTCACCATTGAGAATTGTTCAATATTGCAGAGCGACCAAGACTTCCTCCGAGCATGAGAGACAAAGAAAAGAAAAACCACCACAACGATATCGAGTGCCAAACAGCGTAGCCAACAGTAGCAACAGAATCGTCAATCTCCGAATCAAAAAGAATAAACACGACGAAATTGAAAACCGAATACCGTATTGTATACGCCTAACTCGGTATATGTTATCGAGTATTCAGGGGAAACACAAGCAAGAGGGTCGCACCTCCTCACTTTCGCAACGTGCGTTCAAAACCTCAGCACCAATATCAACATTTCACGACAAAGCAATACTGTTCTGGCTGAAAGCGAAAAGAATAACCACTCTGGGCTCTCCCCACCGCTTTATCTGCGCTCGGTCGCTGGCTCCGCCCTCCTCGTTTCTCCAGAAGTAACGGGCACCGCCATGCAAGACGGGCGACAACCTTCTCTAGCGAACGACCGACAGATGCAGAAAAGGCCACCGCAATACCCAAAAGAACCACTCACCAGTGAGCGTCGCGGGTGGCTCGCTCTGTCCACCTCTTCTCTCCGCGCCTCTGCCTCCTTCCCCTCCGCCCTTACGCAGTGAGGGACGCAGTGAAGCCTTCTGAGGATGCCCACCTCCACGCCGAACGCGCACATCCTGAGTAGAAACAAGTAACAACAATCAGATGCATTTTCCGGTGACATGGGGGGTGGGCGGGGGAGGGGGTACTCATAGTCGCGTATGCCGAAGTTGTCAGACCATTGACCTCGCGGGTAATATGGGGGGGGTGCGCGGAATCATGGATGTCTTCGTTGCGCTAAATAGACTCTTTGCATGGCCGCCGCGAGTGTCTTTCTTTGAGAAACTCCCCCGCTAGGGGTGCCTTTACCCATACCCCCGCAGGTGTTGTCAGAAAGGTGGTCGTGCTATCGCTGTGCCAGTCAACCAAACAACACGCCCATAGGGCCGAAACACGCCCCGCTGACTCACCCTATTTTTGCTCCGTGTGCGGCAACCGCTGGACGCACCCACGCACCCACGATTTTCCGACCAGTGTCTCTCGCGCAGGGGCCCACGACAAAAAACATCTGGCTTGAAACGCGAGAAGCCGATTCTAACCACAAAAAATAATCTGGAGAAACATTCCGCAGTCGTCTGTATTTGCCCTCTGCTGCACAGTGTTACCATGGTAGGCGCTACGGTGGCGGATGATGAGGACGGAAAACGCACCTCCGGTGGTCAAACTGCTCCACGAAGCCCTCGGGTCCCTCGGCGATCTTGAGCACGTCCATCACCGACCTTTCAATAAAACAACGAATTAGTCAACGACATAATGTAGTCAACGCTTCAGCCGAACGCAATGGCATCGTACAAAGTCAACGACTCTTGGCTAGACGACTGAGTGAGCCACTAAGCTCAACGAACTAAAGTGAGCGTTTTGGTCAAATACGTGCTTGAAGTCAGGCACCCAGTTGCTTCGAAGCTACATGTTCGACGATGAGTTCAACGGCTCGACAATGCAGCAAACGATCATGCTCCACGAACAAGAGCAAGAATAATCGAAACAAGTCGTTTCACTATTAATATCAGCATATCAGTCGTTTCAACGATAAAGCCGACGACTCGGCAGTCTAGTCAACGTGAAAGTCAACAACTGAGCCAACGGCGTGACCGACGTTTGGGGGAGGCGAGAGAATGCCGGCGCACGTTCAACAGCCAACATCCACAGCCTTGTGATACACAAGAAGTTAGCAACTTTCACGCTCGCCGTTTGTCGGCGGCGAGGGTCCCACGAGAGTGAAATATCAAAACATGGCGGCCCTGGCCGCAGTCGACGGATGGCGAATCGACAGATATCTAATCGGCGTATCGGACCGACGGCACGAAAACGACGATCACGCTCGGGTAATTTCAATGGGTCGGGGGGAGGGGCGTGGGGGGGGGGGTTTGCGCAAGGGCGATGCACTGGTCGATGCAAACAAAGCCGTAGATACATCGGGAGAGTGTTCTTTCGTTTAGTTCAAGAGCAAATTTTCCTGTCATATAGCCAAGCTGTCAGCCGGAGCGGCGAACACGCCACAGCCCGAAAGCAAAGAACGACAGGAAGAAAACAAGGAGAAAAAAAATACTGGACTGCAGCATCCAACACGCACCGGTCGCACTGAAAGCTGCCGTAAAGCCTCCGAAGACAGGCGGGGTGGGGGGCCTCCGGAATGGTTCCTGTCTCGGCCTCGATGCCAGCACCACCTCCGCCGCCCGCCCCGTCTCCCTCGACTGCCCCCCAGTCGCTCTCTGCCGGCGCCGCCCTTGGCGTTGCCGCTGTCGATGATGATGTGCCGTCTCCGACGATCCAGCCTCCACCCGCGGTGCCCCGCTCCGCGTTCGGGGCCTCTTCCTGCTGCTGGGAGGCTGGGCCTGTCGGGGGGGACGGGGCGCGAGTGAGGGGATCAATTCGAACGAGAAGATAAAATAAAAGGTACCGAGAAAGTGTCTCAACCAAGTGAAAAACTACACAAGATAGAATACAGAGAACATAAATGAAAAATACAGGGCAAAAGGCAACAAGAGCAAACACAGGTGAACAAGCACAACGGATGCAACACTTCGCAACAAAAGAAAACAAATCCTGTACACAACCGTACCGGTTCCATGCTAGCAAACGCCGACGAACCACAACGAAGGAAGAACAACAACGCCATCCAGCCAACAAGAGCACCGAAGGCAGTCACAGCCGCAGCAGTGGTATGTGTAGCAGTATGATACATACCCAGGTACATCCCTTCTGCGTCTCCCCCGGCGGAGGAAACGTTGTCGGCAACAGACGCAGCGACGACCGGTTTCGCTATCCGCTCCCAGCACGCCATCCTGAAGTCCTTCCGCTTGGTGTACTCTGCGCACGACACGCCAACAACATCGGACGAAAAGGAAGCTTGTAGCCAATCGTGTTAAAACCGACCGTTCGTCACCGACAATCGGGCAAGGGTGTACGGGTTGCCGTTGATGTCCCCCTGCTTGAAACGACAACATCGGAAATACATACGCGGTGGTATAAATATTCGCCACCCGTGCTACAGACGCCTGGTCCTGAGTTGGGGCATGGGTTATTGTTTTTCAGCAATAACTTTCGTCCATATCGCTAGTATGCATCGACCGCCGCGACCCAATTCGGCTCACGTCGTTGCCAAGATGCCCCCAGTCACGCAACATGTCCGTAAGGTTCTTGTAGCTGTGGAGGCTTTGGCGAAATCGCAACGTTTTCCAATTCAATTTAGGGGTGCCCTTGTCGTCAAAGACACCAACCCCAACACAAGCTACAACGACAGCAACTTGTCCTGGTACAACTTACAATACACATGCCTTCATCATGATCCAGGATACCCTGAGGTGGAGCCATGGGGAAAGTTCGTGCATATTTACTGTTGTGCGTGTTTGTGAAGCACTTATCTTGGATTTTCCACCGCCCATGCCTACCGGCTGACCAAGGAAACATCGTCAGCCTCAAATCACGTTGAGATTCCTATATCTGTCTGTAAGACTGGCGATGTTTCAATGGTCAGTCACTAAGCATGGCCGGTGGAACATCCAAGAGAACCTCCCAAGAGAACCTCCCAAACACAAACAGAAACACACACACACAAGCTTCCCCCAAAACCCCTTTGGCGTTTCTTTTTATCTATCTGTAAGACTGGTGATGTTTCTTTGGTCAGCCGGTGAGCATGGCCGGTGGAAAGTGCGAGAGATAAACATATACTTCAGTATGCCTCACAAATATACACAAGCTTCGCCCATGGCCCCACCTCAGAGGATCCCGGATCATGTGGTCCCTAGAAGCGTTTCCAGTTGTTTAGCCGCACGGAGACTGACGTATCTTTATTGCTCAGCCAGCTAGCGCGGTCGATGCTAACGCACCCAAACGCTTGCACGCAAGGACTGACGCATTGTACTTGGGCGGCCGGTACGATGGCGTGTTCGATGCTAGCACCCCAAAAACGAACGGATGCAAGCGCACACACACCCACATCGCACTGAGACTAACGTGTTGTCATTGGTCGGCCGGTTAGCGTGGTCGATGCTAGAAATAAAGACACACACACGCACACACACACACACACAAGCACCTGCCGTGGTGGTTGTCTGGACGTAGACGTTGCTGTAGCGAAAGACGTCCGTCAGGACGATTTGGTTGGTGTAGAGAACCCACCGCAGGGCCGCCTTCACCGCCGCGATCTCCACCTGCACCCACCCCACGACGACCACGCCGAAATGGACGAAATGCTTGTGTAAGCGTCTGTACAAGCAACAAGGACAACAACAGACATGGTGTCTGTGGCGGTCCGTACAAGCTGCGAGGACAGCACCATGCACGGTCTCTGTAGCGATCTGTCAAAGCTGTCTGGACAACACCAGGTTTGACGTCCACCTGCACTCGTGAGAATGACAACATAGGTGAGAGTATGTGTGTGAACTCGTCTGTCGTGCAGCTGTAAGGACGACACCAGGCATGACAACAACGACGGCGACCCAACGGCGGTGATACCGGCACATGAAAAAAATGACACGACACCGCAACACTAACAGGCGTACCTTCAAGGACAGAGACGAAACAGCAGGAGGAAGAATGTGAAGAAACAGTGCCATCAAAACCACCGTCCTCGCCACCAAGGACAGCAACCACGACAACAATAGCGAGAAACATCAAAAACGAAAAGCAGAAACCGCCACGAACGGCAGCAAGCAACTGCGGCGACCACAGCAACGTAACAGGATGACCTTCGAAACAAACCTGGGAATCCCGTGATATCTTCTTGACGTGCTTGACCCCATTGATGTGCGGCAGAACCTGAGGTAGTTGTGTACGTTTCGGCCAATCAAACGGAGGCACACAGCTCCTCGACATCACACGGAAACACGCAATATCACTATTGATCGATGGGGCACTAGAAAGGGATCCGCGGTGGACCAACCCCGGGCTGCTCGGTCAAGAAGACAGAGGTGATCACATGGTGTGCGTAATTTCGTCAATAACATCGTTCGGCACATGCTCGGCACTTCGGCCAGGGTGCCGTAGGACAATCGCGCACGCAGGAATAATGAAAAAAAAGGAAAAAAAACAAGGAACAAGAAAAAAAAACTTAATTGAAAAGCAAACATTATAGACACATGGGCAACAACAGCACCATCAACAGCGACAACACCAACAACAGCAGCAACACCTGTTGGACCACCAAGTCCATCTCCGGACCCCACACGGCGTCCGGGTCCATGGCAAGCTCGCTCGCGGCTGCAGAGACGCTTTCCACCAGCCCGGGGCAGCGCCTCGCCGGCACGTCGTGGTCTTGGATCTTCCGCCACTATAAGGAAAAATAAAAAGTACATTGGGAATTAACGCTTTGCCCACTGATGAAAAAAAATAGCAGCTGCAAGCAAAAGCTGCCTGCGCAGGAAAAAAAAGCAAAATCTTGGGAATTAAAGAAAACCCTGTCAAACCATTTAAGAACAAGCGAAGGCGGCAGTTCTGTAAAATACAATAACAAAAACCCCGAAAGATGTGATTTTTGATTTTCCGACCTCGAACATTTTCAGTTGGTATTTATCAATGAGTTTAGTTTACTTTCGCTTTCGAGTGCGCCGGAATACGCTCAACTACATGCCGCAGTACGGAGCGGTCGACTCGCCGAAACCACATCATTCACGTACGTCCTTGAGCGGGGTGGCCGCCACGTAGGGCTGCAGGAGGGGCATGAGCGAGGTGCAACCCGGGCCGGTGAGCATCAGCAAGGCCCTGCGGTCGGTTTTCAGCCCCTTGTACGCCCTCGCCAGCAACTCGTGCNGGGGGGGGGGGGGGGGGGGGGGGGGGGGGGGGGGGGGGGGAGGGAGAGGCGAACTCGGCCGAGAAAAGGTTCCTTTTCAAAGACTATTGGTCGCCGATAAGAAACAGCGGAAAATTGGAGGGCTAACCGGGGCTTCCTGTAGACTTTTTCGGTCGATGGTAGTCATCTGCATATCTGCGTAGAAGGTCTGCGGAGACTTCGGGGGCTCCGAAATAAAAATATTGACACTCACCACGGCCGGAGTCGGGCATTCTAACCAGCACACACACTCGCAGTTCGAGGTCAAAAGCCCTTCCCAACAACTGAATACGGAGAGGTACAGGGTGGCAACAAGACAAGGGCGACACGGCACGCAAGCGTGCCAGCATCTTGGCGCAATGGACGGGTAGCCGGCGGATCCAGTTTCTTCGAGGGGTACGCGGCGTGAGTGAGGGGAATAGCGCCATCGCCAAGACAAGCTTCACTGAAGCGCGCATCCAGCGCAACACAAGGACTATCATATACAAGCACCACCACACCGTCACTATCATCAGATGCACAGCCACGACCGCCAACGACGGCAACAAAGTGACCACCGAGGTACATCTGCAATTGTCGGAAGACAA